AAGATCCTCAATTCTGGGCTGGCAATGGCCAAAGTTGGGCTGGAGACACCAATGTTGGGTTGGAGATGCCAACGTTGGGTTGGAGATGCCAATGTTGGGTTGGAGACACCCAAAGCTGGGTTGGAGATCCTCAATGTTGGGCTGGCAGTGGTCAAAGTTGGTTTGGAGATGCCAATGTTGGGCTGGAGATGCCAATGTTGGGTTGGAGATGCCAATGTTGGGCTGGAGATGCCGACCAAGGAGCTTCAAGGCCCAAAGATGAGGAAGAGGAACCACGACAGCCACCCGTGGCTCAGAGCAAACAACTGCGCCAAGAAGGGAAGTGGGATCAACCGCTGCGAACCCCACGTCTTTCCTCACTGCTTCTCTGTCAGATGCCTGCATTCTTCCTTTGCCCACGGACATCTTGGAGGGGAGCTTTGGTTCCTGCTGCAGCCAAGCACTCCCTGCCAGCCGGGTGCAGATGTGTTGGAGGACGAAGAAATCGGGTTTTGTACCCCCCAAAAAAACTCTATTGGAGCAGCCGGGAACCAGCAAACCAGAAATGAACGGACAAAGCAAGAAACGAAGCTTCTGTCGTGGCATCTCAACACACTGAGCCAAGAAGGACCAGGCTGGGACACCAACGCCGTCCCCAGATGCTCTCCTCCCTAAGTCCCCTTCTGCTCCCAGCCACAGCACAGCTTCAAGCAGGGGTTAAAACTACGATGCCAGCATGATACAAAAGGTGCATTTTCCATAGCAAGCAATTGAGTTTATTACTTAAAAACAGAAAGAAAGATTAAGAAAACTACACGTATCCCCCCCCCCTCCCTGCTTGCTGTTGAAAGGAGCCTGCGGTGACACGACTGTTAAGAAGCATGCAGAGCAAATACTGGTCCAAAAAGATTTGGACCGACCGCCGACTGGGAGAAATCTGAGTAAAAATGGATGGAAAGAAAGAAAGGAGTCCATTCTTGGTCAGATTTGTTCACATTGGTGCTGTTGGAGGAAGCAAGAAGGACAAGGCTGCCAGAGAAGCACGCAGCGACGCATCCTGCGCTCGCAGACCGGGGAAGTCGTTAACAAATGGCTCCAGAACTGAGAGAAGAGCAGCAAAACAAGCAGCTTTTCTCCATGTCCTATTGCTTATGAAGATCATTTCTGCCTGGTATGAAAGCAACGGGGTGGGAAGGAGGGCTTTGGGTGGTGGGAGCACCCAAAGTGATGCGCGTTATTCACCTGTGCCCCCATTTTGGCCCCCAAAATTGGGGCTCAGTTGGCGCTCAGCCCAACCCACAGTGCTCCCCATGGCTGCTTGAATCCATTTCAACCCTCCAGAGCCTTCAGAGAAGCGTCTGCAACGGGCAGAACAGCCGTGGGGAGAAGCTGCAGGGATCTGGGGGCTTTTCTGAGGCGGGGGAAAAGCGGGATGTAAGCACTGAGAAACGGGGCTGAAATGTGCCATAAAGCTTCAGCACAACAAACACGGCATGGAAACGGCTCAGGGTACAAAAAGGAGCGACCAGGAGGAGAAACTTCACCCATAAAGGGGGAAAAATAGCACAAATTCCTTCCTGACACAAAAAGGAAAGCTGAGCTGCGAGCGGAACGACCGACACTGAGCAGCAGCAACAGCAGGGAGCACAGAGCAGCCCAGCATCGATGCAGGGCACCCAGCTGCCCCCAGCAGCACCAACAGCAGGGAGCACAGAGCAGCCCAGCATCGATGCAGGGCACCCAGCTGCCCCCAGCAGCACCAACAGCAGGGAGCACAGAGCAGCCCAGCATCGATGCAGGGCGCCCAGCTGCCCCCAGCAGCACCAACAGCAGGGAGCACAGAGCAGCCCAGCATCGATGCAGGGCACCCAGCTGCCCCCAGCAGCACCAACAGCAGGGAGCACAGAGCAGCCCAGCATGGATGCAGGGCACCCAGCTGCCCTGAGCAGCACCAACAGCAGGGAGCACAGAGCAGCCCAGCATGGATGCAGGGCGCCCAGCTGCCCCTCCTATGGACACGGAGCCCAGCTCTGCGTTAACGACCCCGGTGCTGCAGCTCTGACCCAGCACAGCAGCTCTGTGTTGGGTTCCTCCCCAATGAAACCCAATGCAAACGCTCCAAGCTGAGCTGAGCAAAGCGCCTCTTCCCTGTGCTCTGGCTGGCGTTCAGCGCACACAAACTTGTGGGGGATTCCAAAAAAGAAGAAAAACAAACCCAAAGCCAGATTGGAAACGCTGGGCGTTCGCCAGCGCAGCTCGGGGCCGTTTGCATGCAGCCAGGTGTTAATTACAACCAGTTGGACCGGAATCACCCTGCAGCACCGGTTTGGTTTCACAGAGCTGAAAGCAAAGCTGGGATTTGGGGTTGGGTTGTTTTGGGGTTTTTTTTTGGGGGGGGGGATTGCAGGGAAAGAAGGCAGCGCCAGAATCGACAGCGATGCTCCCGACTGCCAACGGGTTCATTGCAAAGAAAGAAAAACGCCTGAGAAACGGCCGGGGCTGCAAAATGCAACAGGAGAGCACTGCCATCAGCAGCTCCCAAAGCACCGCAACGGCAATTAATTGCAATTAATTACAGTTGATGGTGTTTGTGGATCCAGTGTTGCTTGCATGCTCTGGCATCTGCTCTGCTGCTTTTTAGCACAGCCGACGCGCAGAGCTGATGGCACAGCTGTGCAGCAATTAATCAGCGGGCAATTAATGAGCGAGCGGCTCTGTGAAAGGGGTTTTACTCCTAAATCCAAAGGTTGGGGCTTTTTATCTGCGAGTGAACGCTGCCTCTTTCTGTGCTGCTCTGCATTTAGGGCAAAATTTGGGTCAAAAAAGTGCATTTTTGGTACAACCTGCACCGGTTTGGTTACAGGGAGGAGGTGGGGTGCAAGCAACCATCTCAATTAGCCCGCTAATTAGCAGCAGCACAGCCGCGGGACGTGGGGATGAAGGCCCAGCTCCCACCAGGACGTTTTTGGGGCTCCGTGGGGCCCCACAGGCTGAAGGAATCAGAGCGTGGGGCTCAGCAGGGTCAGCCCCACAACCTGAGCCCCGTTCACCCTGCGACCTGAAGCTCCTCGCAGCACAGAGCTGCGCTTTTCTGCTCCGTTTGGGTCAACTTTTATTCCCCATTTCGGACGGAAAGGGGGACAAAAACACCTCGGGTCAGGAGGGGCCCCATTCAGGCCTGAACCTCCGCTGGAATTTCATGGAATTTCAACCAAATCAAAGAGTTTTTGGGTCGTTTTTTTGTCCTCTCTGTGACCTACGGTGGTTCCACCGATGGATTTTAACAAAGCAAAGCCATTTTTGCACTTCTCTCCTCTCTGCCCCACGACGCCCCGACCGTCGCTGCCGCTCTGATCAGCGCCACGCGTCGCAAAGCCTTCACAGCTCCTTAAAAAGAAAGCCAGATCCTATTAAAAATGCCTGCGAGCAAGGAACAAGCAAGGAACCCACGCCACGTAAAGACAGCAGACGGCAGCGTTACCCCAGACACAAAGACCCCTAAAAATCAGAGCGCTGAAGGGAAGCGCTGCCAACTCGGGTTGGAGGAGAGGAGAGGAGAGGAGCCCTGAGGCAGCCAAGTCGTGGGGTTCCTATGAACGGAACTCAAGGGGAGAGGATTTCGGTTGGGTTTGGGGCTCTTCAGAGGTTGCCTGTAGAGCTGAGCTGAGCCCAAGTTGACCTGCAGGCCCACGGGGACCCACAGATCCAAGGAGCCCCACGCAAACTCAAGTAGACCTGCAAACATCCAACCAGCCTACAGAGGTCCAAGGAGACCTAAGAAGACCTAAGCAGGCCCAAGTAGATCCAAGTAGATCCAAG